CCATGCTGGCTGGGGAATTCTGGGAGTTGAAGTCCACACATCTTAAAGCCATCAGGGTTGAAACACTGGACTAGACATTAAAAATGAATAGACAAATGCAGCCAGGAGAACATCAAGGGTTTGCTTCACTTTTCTTGGCAGAGTCGACAAGCTTCACTTCCTGATCAACTTTAGTGAGTTCACCGTATCACCATAAAGCTGACCGTATCATGATATATCAGGAGTATTTATGAAACAGAAAAACCAGCCAACCAACCCACCACGTTTCAAACCACAAACAAATCACAAGAGGTCTAGAAGTTCTGGAGATTCATTCTGGATGAATCAGTTTGGCAGAACCAAAACCCAGAACGTTTTTTTTTAAATACCAGGTTTCCGATAATGCAAAATCCAGATGGGGCAGCGGGGCAGGCCTGGAGTGCACAATCCTGTCCCCTTGTCAGCTTTCAAAACTGCATGTTCTACCCGTCCATCCATCTTTCAGTCATCCTTCCCCCTGTCCCTCTCTGCCCTCAGCCACTCCACCCAATGTCCCTGATTTCTTCCCCATTCTCACCACCAGCACCCCTTCTTCACCAACCAGCCAATCTACAGTCCACTCTTGGATCAAAACTGTCTTGTTCTGGTTCCTACTATATATCCAAAACAGGCCTTGATTCAGGCAGAAACCAACCCAGAACAATTGTTCCATGCATGGTGAGGTTCATGCATGGAATATTTTGCACACCAACCCCCCTGATCCAAATTGAGAGCCAGTTTGGGGTAGGGGTTAAAGGCACCAGGCTAGAAACCAGGAGACATGAGTCTGAGTCCTCCCTTAGGCATAGTGTAAAGCCAGCTGGGGGACTTTGGCCCAGTCCCTCCCTCTCAGCCCTAGAAAGAAGGCAACGAGGGCAAACTACTTCCAAAAATGTTGCAAAAGAACTGCAGGGACTTGTGCAAGCAGTTGCCAGGAGTCAAAACCGACTTAAAGGTTTCACACGTATGTTTAGGTACATAAACAACGTAGGTCTGAAGCAGACAAGCGAGCTATTGCAGTTCAGAAGACTTCACAGAGCAGCAGAGCATCCATCCAAGCTCCTGCAGAAAGCCACTCTGCAGCCCTGGCTCCTGAAGAACACAACGGGCGTCGTTCCAGCCAGCCGTTAAGAACCACTTGTCTGCGCTCTTCTAGCTCAAGCTCTGGCACCCAGTCAAGAAATGTGGTCACGGGGGATTCTTGTTACTACAAATAAAGCAAAATAACATCCTAACTGCCCTAATGAATTCCTTGAAGTCCACAGTCCTCACAGGAGGAGAGCTGTGTTAAGTCTACAAAAAAGCAGGAGCCCGGGCGTGCCTTTTCCGGCTCTCAAGTGGTATGAAAAGGCTGCAGCTTTCAATTAAATGTGTTAGTCGGAAAAGGAGCTACCAGACCCCCTCTGATGTCTTGAAGCTTATGGTAAGACTTTTAGTGCTTTTAGCGCATTCGTGCTGTGGGTATCGCTCACAGATATTGCTGCAGATCCGCTGTGATTCTGGTCTAGCTTGGCCGATGGCCACCTAGGGTTCAAATCCTGGGCTGCCCATAAATATGACCTCACACATCCAGTGTTGAGATGCTGAAAGGGCATGGCCCACACAGTTCTTTTCAAGTGCTCCCTCGGCAGGTAGTCTCGCTTAATGACCGTTCACTTAGTGACCATTTAACGTTATGATGGCGCTAAAAAAGCAACTTATGACTGGTGCCCGTAGTTACGACGATCACAGCGCCCCCACAATCACATGATTGCAATCTGTGCGCTTGGCAACCAGCTCGCACTTACGACAGTTGCAGTATCCCAAGGTCACGTGATCCCCATTTCTGACCTTCCCAGGGAGCTTCCAGCAAGCAAAATCAATGGGGAATTGCATGATTCACTTAACAACCACATGATTCGCTTAATGATCACAATGATTTGCTTAACAACCACTGCAAAAAAGGTCCTAAAATTGGGTCCGGTCATGTGATGATTCTCTTAATGACTGCATCGCTTAAGCAACCTAAATTCTGGTCCCAATTGTGGTCATTAAGTGAGGACTATCTGTATAATAAGGGTACTGATGCTCTGCTGCAGAAATCAATGGCCGTTCCCCCCTGCTTTTCCCTATTTTGCCTAATTACGAAGTGCTGCTTCTGCACCCATCTGGAAGGCTGCCCCCACCGTGCGTCACTTTCCGAATACAGTACTTACTCTTGCTTGCTCTTGAAACTGATCCAAAATCAGGCGATCCACTCGGGAGGGCTTAGCCGGAAGCCGGGAAAATGGAACGCTATTTGAGCTGGATAAGGATTTCCCTGGGAAAGTTCTTGCTAAGTCAGCCTCTACCTGAGAAGAAAACAGACTTGTCAGAGCAGGCTCCAGTCTCAACAGCCCTTTCCCCTTAGCCCCAGGGCAGGGTTTCTCAATCTTGGCAAGTTTAAGATGGGTGGACTTCAACTCCCATGGTATGGCTGGCTGGGGAATTCCGGGCGTTGAAGTCCAGCCATCTTAAACTTGCCAAGGTTGAGAAACCCTGAGCTAGAGAAAAAGTCTGACCAGTCCACTTGGAACTGATGGTTCTCCAATCTTCAGTTTGCCAATTGTCAGTTCCTAAAACTAGCTCTGATTTCTGTATCTGAATACCACGAATGATGGTATCTAAAAGACGGTCTCCACTTACTCCAGCCCTTAACTGAGTGAGCTGTGCCCACACCCTGCTCTCAAAAGGGAATGACCGGGAAAGGGGCCTTTCTCGCAGTGGCAGTGGCAGAAAGACTTTTCTTCCTTTACTGTGATTTAGCCTACGGGGAAGGCAAAACAAGACAGAGAGGTTTTCCTCTCTTTAAGTCAAAATGCTGGCCACCTGATAGCAAAACCCACTACTGGCCTGAAAGGAATACTTCTATTCCAGCTGAGTCTGCTGAAACTCACATTCCAGAGAGAAGGAAATACAACTTCCAAGCAGAAAATTCCAAATATGAGCCACAGTGAATTTTTTTGCTTTGGACACAGAAGCGTAAAAGAAATTCTAGGCCTAAAAAGTGGTATCTAATTCCCCGGACATGAGCCCAAACCTTACAGTGGAAAACCAAGTTTTCTCTTGACTTCACCAGAAGCAAAAAGCAATGCTACTTTCAGTTAAGTCCAAATTTACCCTTCCCAATCTGGATGCTCTGCAGATGTGCGGGTTTCCACCCCCAGACCTTCCCCCTCCATGTGAGTTGACGGGGAATTCTGGGTCCTGAAAAATCCACACGTCTGGAAGGTGTTCAGAGTGGAGAAGCGTGTCATAAAACAACCCCAGTCACCTTTTTCCGCTCTCTTTCTAATGCTCTCCACTGTTCATAACATTCTTCCAGGTGAATGTGGAGCTCACGGGCAGGCCCACCACGATTCTTGGCAGATCTGTAGTGGTCAAGCCGTGGTGGAAAAGCAAGATAGGGCGCAGCTACATCTCCACAAAAGAGGTCGTTAATAAAAGGACTTAAATGGGGGAAATCGTCAACCAATTCAGACAAGGGCAAAGGTGGGAAGGCAACATTAGTTGACGGCGAAAAGCGGGGAGGATGCATCGCAGGAAAATTTGGAATTTTGGTATAACCAGGCACTAAGGGGAAGAGAGGAAGGAAAGATGGATTGATGAAATCAGACGAGTTGGCCTCATTTGGTTTTCTTCTCAATGCACCAAGCTGGGCCCAGTCTGGGCCTACAGAGGCTGCGCGAGGAGGGATCCTGTTAGTTTTACGCCGTCCCTCGTTCCACCCTGTTCTCTCACCAGCATGGCCTCTGTGGGGCAGACTGACAAATCGGTAGCATTTGGCAGACGCGTTTGCAGAAGGAGGCCGTGAGAAACTGCCGGAGGAAATGTTCGTCGAAATCTCACGCAAGTGTTCCTGAGTAGGAGCTCGCAAATGGTCCCGGGAGCATCCAACAGAATTGTGGGGCTTCAGATTTTCCTTGCAATTGGAAAACCCTAAGTGGCTAGAAGCATTAGTACCCACGAGCAGCGTCCCATCTTTTCTTGAGGCTATCTGGGAACAAGAAGGCTGGCCTATGGAGTGACTGACGGAACACACGTGCGACAGAGAGTTTATTCTCTTTTGCTTTCTGTAACTTACATACGATGTCGTTGCTGGATTTAACGTGTGGCTCTGAAGGCGTATATCTCCACTGTAAGATGAATTTCTACGTTGCTGGCCTGGGTTTGGAGATAAATGATTAGAAGAGTCTTGGGGGGGATATGCGGGAGTCTTCATTTCAGTATTATCAAAGTCGACGCCCATGTTATTGGGGCAACTTTGCTGGTAGTTTTCGTGCAGTTTTGCATTCACTCCTTCAGGAATGCTATTTTCTTGTCCAAATGGGGGACTGAGGAAGTATGGGAACCGTGGTGACTCGCAAGCACATCTTTTAGCACACAAATGGTTTTCCTGAATCACTGGGTCCCATACCCTACCCACAGCAGAATTAGGCAACTGAATGAAAAAGCTGCTGGACTCTTCCACGTCACTGGCCCCAAGCACACCTCCTGTTGTGTTGGTCTCCTGACGTTCTTCATAAAAATTTGTACTGTTTGTACTCTTAGGCTGTGATGAGGAAAGGTTCCCCCTGACAATATCTACTTGTTTCTTATCATAACTGCATTCAGGTGCAAAGACGGCCTGCTGACTAAAACTGTTACAGGTAAACACCTCGGCTTCTGGATCAGAAGTCCTCAAAACCTCATCAGATGATGGCGAGCAAGGATTAGAAGGGGCAGGCCAGGAGCTTGTCACATGCAGATCACCAAGTTTCCTATTTAACAATGCTGCAGAGGATGCCTTTTCCAATTTTTCTTCGTAAGGGCGCCGTGTGTCAACTAAGTTAGCAAGTTTTTCATTGTCCAAAGCTTTGGTAGGAAAAAGCCTTGAACATCTGTCATTATTTTCCAAGTCCAAGGTCCAAAACGGAGGAAACAACCTTGACAGAGAATTCCTGCAACCGACAAGATTTCATTTCTAAACATATTTTATATCCGTTACATAATATGTGAAGCTGCATCAAATTGGATCAGGCTACTGACCCATCATAGCAAAATATCTACTGAACGTTAACAGTACTTCCCACTTTCCCACCCAAGATCCCACATACTGAATATGAGGCCCTCTTGCAATCTAAACTGACTGTTTAACCCACACTCAAATTCATCCTGTTTTATATTTGCAAAGATTACTCAGAAATTTATTGCGGAGCACTGGCTCTAAGCAGAAGATCTGAAAAAGGAAGGGGCCATGCTTTACTATGCTAATAATTCTGTTATTTATGGTTTTATATGCCACCAAAAATATTCTCAAGGCAGCTGACAATAACGGTCTGTTAATGATACCCAGGACAGGAGAAAAACAGAAATCAAATTTACCATCTATAAAACAAATGAAACATTAGAGGCATTATCTAATATATATTGTCAAAAGCTATTCAGGCAATCTTTCAAAACTCTGTATTAGTGAGAAATGTTAATCTTAAATATCCTCCAAAATTTATTTGTTTAGACTGCGTGGCCACCATCCTATGAGATTCGCAAGAGATATGTCAGCACAAGAAGTCAGAAAGATCATTTATCCTTTGTTTTGGATTTAGGAGTAACTCAAGGTGGCCCCATCAAAGAAAACTGAATTGGGTAGTTATGCAGAATGGACTTGACATGTAACCTTCTGTTAAAAATAATGTATTACTGCAGAAAGCACGTAGTAATCCTCCTCTATTACTGTTTCTTCACTCCAGAAAAGTCTGGAGTTCCACTCTATGCCGCAGGCCATGATGAACATTCACAAGATTATTTATGTTGCAGGAATCTGTAATCTACCAATTTAGACTCTGCAAAAACAACTGTGTTGAAGTCCACACGGCTTAAAGTTGCTAAGGCTGAGAAACACTGATCTAGGCTGAATTGTGCTGCCAACTGATGCATTTAGTCAGACACGCCTCCCTATATGCTCAGGATATTCCTGTTACTCTCAGTAAATACATCAGTGGTTTCAACAAAGTTCATAAACTATTTGAAAATAAATAAATAAATAAATAAATGACACCACCATACCAGTCTGTAATAGGTTCTTGTTCGCTAGGCTCCTGTAAGATGCTGGTCACTAATCCAAACATATCAGGGCCATTGGCAGAATAAGAGAGATTTACCTGCGCCCTGAAAAGAGGGATAAAGAAATGGAAAATCAACCTGGCTTACAAAGTATCTTCACATTCCTTCCACGGCATTATTTTTCAGGCTTGTTTATCAATCTGAGCTTTAGAAGACATAACGCCCAAATCCATAAAAGCAAGCAAAACAATGGTTAATATTTAGTTCAGTAAGGGTGCTTAGACGTTACCCAGAGTAAAAGACCCAGGAAGTTACATATGCCGGATGAAAAGTCAAGGTGGTTGCCTTCGGCTGCTCACGCAGAAGTGCTTCATCTTCAAACACTAAGCGAACAGCCATCTTAACAAAAACACATGCCAGGGACCCAGTAGGAGCATCGACTACCGTGTGAAGCTAACATACTGAGAAATGGCATCAGGACGCAGAACATGCCCAGAAATAAAGACAGGGAGGGGGTTTTAAAGAATATTTCAGGAATTAACTGTTCTCCTTAAATTAAAAAAAAAAACAACTCTTTTACCAAATTAATCTTTGTTTTTCTAAGGGTGACCAAAGGAAAGAATTGGGATGAAAGGATTGGGATGTGAGGATCTTTCCAACAACTGATGGAAGAACCTGCCTGTTCGAATTGATGGTACTAGATAGAAAAAATGTGTCTGATGACTTTTAAATAAGGAACACTTTAAAGCAGCATTTCTCAACCTCAGCAAGCTTGAAGATGCGTGGACTTCAACTCCCAGAATTCCCCAGCCAGCAAGTCCACGCATCTTCAAGCTTGCTGAGGTTGAGAAACCCTGACCTACCATATACAAACATGACAAAACTGAGGCTTCAATATATATGTTTAGCCCTGCAGCTGGAATGAGTTATTTTCCAAATCACCTTAGAACAAAGGACCAGGTACAATAAATTTGGATGCCCGTAAAAATTAAAAATAGCCTGTAGCCAGGTTCTTCCATGTCCTTATGGAGATGAAATGTTAAGGAATAGGTACGACTGAGTGTGTGTGTGTGCACAAGTGGGGAACCCCCGTTTCCATCATCAGCGAAAGAGGCTTCTAGGACCACCGTTCATACCTTCTCTTTGCACAATCGTGTAGTGAAGCAACCACGCTGCCACCATCTTTACACTTCGACCAGCTATTGTATAACTGGGGATATTCCATAGTAGGGGGGGTATTCGTTATTCCTCCGAACAACGGGGAGAAAAACTGGGCCCCCATTTCTTGCTTAGGGTTGTTTTCCTGAGGAGCAATCAAAGATGGACAAGAGATGATCTGGAAGGCAGGAGCAGAGCCGAGTCCTGATCAGCTATAAATGATCAGAAAAAAAGAAAAATAAAGATTCCCAAAGACTTAAATCACAACACTGTGCAAGGTATCTCACTTTACACTGTACAAAAATATATTTGAAATTGGGGCTACATTTTACCCACATAAATGTAGGTATTATTCAAGGTGATGTGGCTTAGTTTAGCGTAGGGTGTCCCCAACCTTGCCAATTTTTATCGTGGTTGGCTTAAACAACCCAACAAAACACACAACCCAAAAACAG